CGGGAGGTGAAAACCAGATCAGCCCTTGCCTGATTAACACAGGCATGGCCTGAGCCACCTTCCACCGTCAGCCAGGAAAGCCAGGAGAGGGGGAGAAATTGAATTTCAGTCTCTTCGGTAGGAAGCTGGAGCCCTAATCACTAACCCGTCTCAGAAATGTAAATTTTGCAGAGCAACTCCTGCAGACCTGCTTTGCAGCACACAGCGGGAGACAGCCCTCTCCCCGAGACGATTAAAATCTGATTTACAAGGCATGCTGGACAGATGGCATCTGGTTTTGAAGTCAGTGGCCCCTACGGAATAAAAGAGGCGAATTTCAAGGCCGTAGCTCTGCAAAGACAGAGAAATGGATTTATTGCCCGCATCGCTTCAGGTGCCTGTATTGACATCCTCCACGCCAGGGATTGAATCCACCAGCCCAGCAGGTACCTGCTTTCCTCCCCTTTCTCTGCCTCTTGACACTCAAATGTTCTCTATTTCCCAGCCCTTTCCCTGTCCCCTTGCCAACACGCTCCGAGGGCAGGCAAAGGGGTGGGAGAAAGCAGCGAGGACAGGCAGAGCCTGGCAGCTCTGCAGAACAGGCAAGCAGCAGCTCCGGAGGGCAGGGTGCAGGGAAGGGACAATGCTGCAGGCTTAAAAAAGAGGCAGTCTCTACCAAGAGCCATCAAAATGCCTCGAGAAGACGAGATGGATTTTTTTTTGGAAGGGCATGTGTGAAAGCATCACGGGGTGGGAGAGGCAGGGAAGGGCTGAGCAGCCTCTCCCTTGGCACAGCCCAGGGCAGGCTGGAGCAGAGCCCCAGGGAGCAAAGCCAAGGTACCAGCAGAGAAATCCCTGTGTCTGGGGGGGCTTTGCACGTTTTCTTGAGCCTCTGGAAGGGTGATCAGTCTTGAAAAGTCCCTGCCCAGCCAAAGCTCCCACACCTGTCGCTTGTTTCCCACTTCTAGAAGAGGAAGAGAAATGGGTCTCAGGCACAAGTCTTATGAGAAGTGGCTGAGGGAACTGGGGTGGTTTAGCCTGGAGAAAAGGAGGCTGAGGGAGACCTTATTGCTCTCTACCTGAAAGGAGGCTGTAGAGAGGTAGGGGTCGGTCTCTTCTCCTAAGTAACAAGCGATGGGACAAGAGGACTTGGCCTCAAGTTGCGCCAGGGGAGGTTGAGGATGGATATTAGGAAAAATTTCTTCACTGAAAAGGTTGTCAGGCGTTGGAGCAGGCTGCCCAGGGAAGTGGTCGGGTCACCACCCCTGGAGGTATTTGAAAGATGGGTAGAGGTGGTGTTTAGGGACATGGGTTAGTGGTGGTTTGGGCAGTGTTGGGTTAACAGTTGGACTTGATGATCTTAAGGGTCCCTTCCAACTTAGACAATTCAATGGAATAAAGGCAGGGAAGACACTGCAGTGGGTATTGTGTGCCAGCACACTGCTCCTGAAATATCATCCAGCTCTTCCCAGCTGCCTCCAAACCTCCCCAGCACATGCAAAACACTCATTTGCCATGTGCTACAGCAGCGAGGAATTAAAAAAGTGTCCTCACAAAGGGACAGGGCAGGAGCTTGGGTTTTGCCTCGTGACAGAAGGTGGGGGTCTCATCGCTATAGGGACCACCACAGAGGCCTTTGACTCAGGTTTCCCATCTTCTGCTAAAAATACCAGCCTTCTCGAGGGGAGGGTGAGTGAGGACACCTCAAGATCACAAATGATAAGTTCAGACATGTTACCCCAATACTTTCTTCTTATGTATCTTCTCACACAGGCTGCCCGCTCTCAGCACTCTGTTCTTTCCCTTTCCTTCTTGTCTTTCTTTTTCCAAGTCCCTTCAAAGGAAGATTAAGCAGCAGGACTTTCTGATGTCCTAATCCTCCCTTTGTGGAGGCAGAAAGCAGGACAAATATCGCCTCATCGCTGCTATCAAAAGGCTTATTTGAACACGGTCACAGTACATGGCTCCCAGGTGGTGCCAGCGTCTCCATGGAGCTTTGGTGATGTGGAGGCTGGTGGCACTGCGTGTCCCAAACCGCCCTTGCAAAACAGGGCTGGCCCCCACATCACCTGGGGGTGGAGGGGGTAGCTCAGTGGGCAGGGTGGACCTCATCTCCCCCATGAGTTACCTTCTCTCCCTGTATAGCCCTGGCCAAGAACACACTGGTTGATTTGATCCCTCCACAGCTGTTGCCTGCCTCAGCCTCAATTTCTGAGGGAGGCTGCATTTCTCCATCCACATTCTCTCTCAGCTGCTCTGAGCCCGGATCTCTGAAGTCTTAAGAGCTGCTTGCTGAGGAACGTCTTTCAGTTAGGAGTGAAACAGACACAAATCCCCCAAGGACCACGTGGAGGCAGTTTGAGGAGGGAAAACTCCCCCTGTTTGTAAGAGGATGCTTGTGCCTTTGGCTTGCCCTGTTTACAAACCAGTGGGTTTCAAAGCCCCAAAGCTCGGCATTGCTTTATCTGCTGGTTGGCAGCACAAAGCTCTAAGAGCTGTATCATTTAAAAAATCCAACCCAAGGACAACCGCAAGGTCTATTTGAAAAATCCTGATGTTTAGGAGCTCTTGGGAACAGAGATAATCTTAGCAAAACACCAGGTATCCAAAATAGCTGTAGGGCACAAGTTCTCTTGACCTTCACACCATTTGAGGCCTTCAATCCAAAAAGAGCCATGAAGATGCCCCTTGCAGAGACCTGAGAGGTGGGCCAGTGTAGCTCCGCGATGGCTGATTGATCAGAGAATAACAAATGCCTGGGTGACCATGGAGATATCCACACCCAGATGCAGTCCATCTTGTCAAAGCCTCCGTTTTACCTCCATCCCTTCATTAATGGTGCCTGGTTTGGGGGATTATCCTTATACTTCATTTGCAAGCTTGGAGGGACTAAACCCTCCTTGCCCATGGTGCTCTGTACCACAGGAAGAAGAGGCACAGCATATAGAGCAGGCATGATGGGAAGGTCAAGTTTAGGAGACCTCATCCTCCAGCGCTATTTTGAGCAGTATTTGGATATATTTGGAAGCCTGCTGTTCTGGTAGGATCATCAGTGCTCCCGAGAACTTGTAAACTTCAGGACTTTTGGACTAGCCCCCAGTCCAAAGTTGTTGCTGGGATGGGTTTTGAAATTATGAGAGCCATTCCTGCACCTCTGCACCGTGGACACGGTGCATTTTAAACACTGTGCAGGGAGGAGAGGTTGGTTTCTCCTGCAGCTGCCAAGCGCCTGGGTCCACACTCGGGCAGGCAGAGCCCCGTCTGCTGCTGTATGTCGCCTGCCAAGCGACCATCCTCCTCCTCCATCCTGCTTCCCAACACTCCTGGCCTGGAGCAGTGCACTGCAGCAGCTCCTGAAAAATCTGTATTTTAATTGGAAAGAGACAGTAACAGAGGGGAAAAGGTGGTGGTGGGATATACAGGGCAGCTGGGCGGATTAGGCTGCAAGGGAATTAGGGAATTACTGGTGCTTCAGCAGCTTGAAATTCGCTGATGCGGAGATGAAACTTTTAAGATGCTGTTGGCAAACGTGGGGAGAAGACAGCCTGTGGAGCCAATGCCACCTGCTGGAGACAGCACTCGGAGACAGATTCACGGCACCCATTAAACCGGCATTTCTTAGTCATCCTTGCACCCAAAATCCCTCTTCTGCAGCTTGAAAACCTGAGCTGGTGCCGGGGTGAGGCAGAGACTTCAGACACCTGCAGGCATAGCCCCTCCACCATCTCAGAGAAGGTTTCCTTTCCCCCAGGTTCCCAGTCTCCTTTCACCCATTTGCCTTATCTGACAGCTCATTATCATTCCAGAGGTAATTGCTGGAGGAGCCATATGGGATCCATAAACTGCTAATGCTGGGGGATTTTTCTGAAGAATCAAAAGGGAGGAGAAGCCCTATATATTATTGTTGCTGTTATGGGTATGATTATCACTGCTGTAACAGAAGCCAAAATCGCCAAATTAGGTTGTGGAACCTTTTACTGCTGCGCAGACACAAAGACAAGGTTATATTTCCTGAAGCAGTTACAGTCTAAGAGGTTTTTAATTGGGAGGAAATAATATGTTCCCAGGCTCTAATGAGAGAGTTACAGAATAAACCCAGACCTAAGGGGAGGGAAGGAGGAGGGAGATAGGGAGGTGAAGCCTCGGTGCAGAGCCCCCCCATGAAGGGACAATTTGGGGAGCAGCCACTGCCAGGGCAGTGGATTTGGCAGGGGGGAGCGAGGAGAGGGGGGGGTCAGCACTTCTGCATGCATCTACATGTGGGTTATCTAATAAGCCATTTCTTAAGCTCCAGTGATACCGCTACTTATATCATAAATTCAGTGATCTTCCCTTTTACTGGTCATTAATCTGCTTCGTTTCCTGACAACTTTATACTCTTTTGATAAACTGTTTGTCTAACCGCTTGGAAGAAACAACGTCAAAAGCTGTACCTTAGGCGTTCGCCCAACTAATGAAGAAAATCCATCACAAGGAGAGTTTATCTATTGCTTTGCTGGATGTAAATAAAACATCAGGCTAATTTACTTCCATTAATCTTAAGGGCTGTTGCTACAATGGTAGTCCTATGTTAGAGTGGATTTTTTTTTCCCTTTTCCACGTAAATATTTAAGCAAGTAGTGAAAGCACAAATAAATTGCTTTCTAAAGGCTAGATTATTTTTATATCCAGTGATTTAACAATAAATTTGGATTTACTTGCTAGCTCTTACCTTTCAGGCAGCAGCCAGCCCATGCTCCCCCCCACAAGCACAGGGATGCTTGGGTGGGTTTTGCTGAGCATCTTGTGGGGTCTCCGAGTGCCAGCCCTGAGTGTCACCCCACTGGTGCCATCCCTGGCCAGCAAACATCTTCAGTGGGTGCTCAGGCTGCTCAGTGAGATCTATAAGGGGCTGCTGCAAAGGTGATGCAAACTTGAATATAAGAGGTTCCACCTAAACATGAAGAGGAACTTCTTTACTTTGAGGGTGGCAGAGCCCTGGAACAGGCTGCCCAGGGAGGTGGTGGAGTCTCCTTCTCTGGAGACATTCAAAACCCACCTGGACAAGTTCCTGTGCAACCTGCTCTAGGTGGAACTGCTTGGGCAGGGGGGTTGGACTAGATGATCTCCAGAGGTCCCTTCCAACCCCATGTGATTCTATGATTTGCTGTCCTGTGGCCACAAAGGACCACTCAAGAAGTGGCCCTTAAATGCAGCAAAAAGGCACATAGTTTATGGAGGGTGCAGACTGCAAAGCACTGGAGCAGGCTCCTGGGTGGCATTTGGGGGTCACCAGCTTTGAGGGGGGGCTAAGAACAGGCTGAACAGGAGTAGTGTGCCTGGGGAGGGGTGGTCTGGGTAGGTATCTGTGCAAATGTGTGCATGGGGGATGTGGTCTGTCAAACGTGGATCGTGCCACTTTGGTCACTGTGGAAAGGTTCGGTGTCTTCACCATGTGAAGCCCGGTGAGGGTGCATGCCCACGCTCTCAAATGCTGTTCCCTGAGTGCTGGCAGCAAGCAGCACCTTCCTACAGTGCCAAGGGTGGGCATGAGGGTGCCACAGTGATGCCCTCCTGCAAGGAGCCCCAGCAGGAGCTGTAGGCTGTTCAACCTGTCCAAGCCTCAAGTATTCAAAGTTTCTGCGGTGGGGGGTGGAGAGGTGAAGGCACCCAAAAAATCTCATGGAAAATTTGAAAATCCATACTGATACCGTTAGTTGATAACAGTTGTCTTTCTCAAACAGTTATGGGTTGTTTCAGGAGATACGATCTCAATGATCTCAGAGGTCCCTTCCAACCATGGTGATTCTGTGATACCTCCTCCTCCTTTTTCCTGCTCCCTGTGATCCCATCTCCTTCTCCAGGACATCCTACAAGGGGGTGGGAACGCCTTTTGGAGAGCCAAGCACCTGCACACAGTTTCTCATCGCCCACGCCGAGGGGATGAGGTACATCCATCGCCGCTGGGATTTGCAGGGCAGGCACACCATGCTGGCCAGATCTTAGTTCAGCGTGGTGAGTCCTCAAACACCGTCAGGTTGTGCTCCTGGATGTACCTCAGCAGGATGCGTGCCCGCCTGTCGATGGTCTGCAGCAGGGGTCTCAGGCCCTTGGCGCCACCTTGGCTCTCCCAGAGCTCCTGGTCCACACGCAGTGACTCCAGCAGCAGGCTCTGCAACCTGCCTGACCGCAGCGTGGCCACCGCCGCCGCCGGGAAGCTGCAGCAGAGGAGGAGAGAGGGAAGGAAGGGGTTACCAGGGGAAGGTGGAACAGGGAGGAGGCAACCCGGTGCTTCAAGGAGAAATGCATGTCCACCCAGAGGAACAGGGGATGAAGAACCTCCTGCTTAAAATTCTGTGAGCGTGCATGACAGCCCCATCAGAAACGGATCCAAACGAGCTTCAAGTCAAGAGACTGATAACGTGCCAAACGCCCGATGGGCAATGATGCAAGAAATGCTGAAATACCTGATTATTGGCTAGTTTTGTGCAGCTGCCAATTAGAGAGGGGAAAACAGGCTTTGAAGACTACCATCAGCCACCCAGAGCAGGATGAAGACCCAGTTTCAGGGCAGGGGCACATGTAATGGGTTTGCGAGCCCACTCACCTGCCCCTCCTGGGTGGGAGGTGGCTCCACTTCACAAGGCTGCATAGATGGGGAGCCCAGGAGAGACACAAAGTGCAGACAAGGCTTCAGTCCACACCACATATGCAAGCTCGGCCCTCACCCAGCACCTGTCCCCCCAGAAGGGTGCAACATCACTCTTCCTACCTGTCTATGCCTTGCAGGAGCCTGAAGTTGAGCTTCTCCTCAGGGTGTTGTGGCCTGCCTGCGTTGTCAATGAACACCAGGCGGGAGGGTGAGCTCTTCCGGACCTGCCAGTGGGATGGGAAGAAGTTTACTTACTGTGGGGAGTGACCAGTTTTGGGGGTTTTGCCTGGTTTTTTAATGCATCGAGAAATCCTGAGAGCATCTGTGAGCCAGCAGCTGCCAAAGCCCAGGTCTCTCCACGCTGAGGTGCACCTCCCACCAAGTACCACACATCACCGTCCCCCTTGCTGCCACCTCAGCCCTGTAAGGACCCCCCAGACACCTTCATCTTAGCCCCAGAGCAGCCCCTGGGCAGCAGGAGAACGTACCAGAATGTGGACCAGCACCAGCTCCCCTGGGTTTCGGCACTTCTCATGGAGCCTCTCCTCCACACAGGGCTCAGAGGGATCGGGCTGAAACCCACAACAGTAACGGTCCAGGCGGTCATGAACCTGTGGGAGACATTTGGGGACCTTAGTGAGGACAGGCACCTGGGGTGGGGTGGTCCAGTTGTGAACTTTGCTTGCTCAGAGGAAAATAAAAAGTTTCTAAGGATCCTGAGTAGACATGAAATGGAAAAGCTGCATACACCCTTGAGTGAGAGAGAGCCAGGGAACATCCAAAAGCTGAGCTGACTTGCAAAGCCCCCTTGGCTTGGAGAAGAGACTGACAAAGGTGATGGTGACAGGCTTTCCTGCTGAACCTCAGACACCTTCTGTGCCTGGTACCTCCACACCCCATATTTGCACAGAGCAAACAGGTCGTGTTTCCATCTGAAACCAAGGGAAGGTGTACACAGCCAGGAATGTAAAAAAACCCAAAAGCACCCAAGGAAACCTTAGTTTTAAAACCTCAAAAAGAGAAGGGTGATTTTTGGAGCTGAGTCTCGGTGCACTGGATGATGGTTTCATCTGGCTCCCAGCTCATTTATGCCTTTTCATCCATCCCTGCTGGCAACCTGAGCAGCTCTCAATGGAAAGAAGATGAATGGAAAAAGATTGGCAAGGGAAAAAGCAATCTGTGCATTACACAGAGCATGCCTGACATTTAAGTTGGGCCACAGCGACTAGTTTTAACTAGATTTGTGTTTAATTATTTGCAGGCACTGCTAAGGCTCTGTGTTGTCGAGGCTGTCAAGCTCCCCCGCTTCCCACCCCAAATCCCTGTAGAAACCCTTGGTGCTGCTTGGCAGCTTCCAGCTTTTCACCCACACCCTCAGAGTGAGGAGGGACTTTTAAAAGATACAAATCTCTGCCAGACCTGGCTTCAGTAGCCCTGCCTCTGCATTCATGAAGCTTCCTCAGCTTTGCCAGAAGAAGCCAGCGCCTCCCTCTGCGGTGGCCTGTGGGGCAGATGGGACCTCGCTGGCTGTTGACAGCCCTCCCCATGGCTGCATTTATGACATTACAGCAAAAATAAAACCCATATATGCATATAAAAATCTGCTTTAAATATAGATATATAAAATAAATACATTTTCTGGTTGCAGCACAAAGGCATCCATCTTGCTTACTTGCTCGGAGTTGCTGGTCCTGGCCCTGGAGCCAGGGCTCAGGGTGCAGAGAGGCTCCTGGAGCTGCCAAGAGGGCTGGAGCAGATCTCAAACACAAAGTTTGATGTCCATTGCCATTATATTAAAAATCCGTTGGGAAACAAGATGAGTCCCACACCAGAGCTCCTTAACAAATCCCTCTCTTTCCTGGTTTAATGAAGGACTCAGATCAGCATTTCTCCACTGGGACGCTTACCAGTTAAACGTGATAAAGTGTCTTTTGACACAAAACACGTTGAAATGAAAGAAAATGTCACATTTCCTCCATATACTTCCTCGGTCTACCTACTGGAAAGCTCAGCACACCAGTTTTTCTCACCTGCTGCATTGTTTTCCAGGCTGCACAGAAGTTGAAGACAATCTGAGTTGACTAACATGGACTTTAAATGCATTCAGGCCTCCATTCACACGAGCACCTGTGAAACCGAGGCATATCAGTGCCAGACCCATGGAGGTGTGAGGTGGAGGCTGGATCTGGGGCCCAGGTGGAGCCTCAGAAGATGGACCAGCTGGTTGTGGAGATGCTGAGAGTGCCTCTGACATGTTGATGAACCCTCCTTCCCCCAGGGGAACCCTTCCTTCTCCCCAGGTTATTTATATTAGTATCTCCTCACCAGAACCTAAATGGCTCTAATGAACAAGGCACTAGATCTTACTGCTGGAACACAAATATGTGAGCCACACCTTCTCCCATCCAAGCTGAAGCTCCCTGAGAAGCTCCCCTTCAGCCCCTCTTTGGTCCCACACCAAGCTTGGCCACCCCAGAGCATCCCCTTAGGTCTAACAGGGCTTCCCAGCCGTGAATCATCCTGGGATGACTTCACCTGAGGAAAACCGCCTTGCTCTCCTCCCATCTGGGAGGGACATGGCTGCAGGACTTCAGAGTGATTGTATTTTTGGCTCCTTTTAAAGCAGAGGGCAAAGCCATCAGCAGCTGCTCCCTTTCCACCAGGCTTGTCATTTTGCCCCCAGTAAAGCTTTGCACCAGGAGCGGTGTTCCCTTATGGCAAACACCAAGAGAAATCAATATAGAAGAAGCCCAATTTAAAAGCTAATTGAAGAAAACAACGAAGATGAATTCTCGTACGTGCCAATCTACAGCAGGGCTTAAAGCTCACACCTTCTCATTCCCCAGCAAGGGCTGTGAGAGGCTAAAGCCATTCCTGAAGGATGCTATTTCACTTTTATAGCATCAAGCTGACTTGGTGCCTCTTCACCTTTACGTGGCTTTTCCGCATGGGAGGATCCCATTGGAGTAATTCAGGAAAACCTGCAGAGTGCCCTTGGATTTATCATTGTGCTGCTTTAGACCTCTGAGGGAAAGTCTGCCTAAAACTAGATACTTTCTCCTGGACACTCAACCTTTCCATTGCACTCGACTGCATTTTGGCCTGGGGAAGGGAAGGGGGTTGGTTCATCTTCCCATTTCTCTGGCTGTTTCAGCTAAAATATTTCCAAGCCCAGCCAGGACTGCTTCTCCTCTGCCAGCCATATTCTGAGGTTATAAAGATTAATTGTCAGGCTTTGCCAAACAAAAAAAAAAGAGAGAATAATGAGAACATATACTTTAATAGTCTCTTTTTTTTTCTTTCTTTCTTTGCTTCTTTCTTTTTTTATTTTAATACTTGCCCTTTCAGGCAGTTTCCCCATATCTGATAACCAAAGCTCCAGCCCCAAGGTTCCTAAACAGGCTTTTTTCCATAGGAACCACTTTTTCCTCCTCACAGCTGCCCCTCTAAGAAATGATAACTCTCTGGGATGCTGTTGTAATCCCTCGTAGGGGAAGGGTATGATTTTCCAGATGGAAGATTAAGCACGATTAATGCCGGGGAGGAGGAAAGCAGTGTCGTATGAAGGGGCAGGGCTCCTGATTTCCAGCTCCAGCAGCACCTCCCCAAAACTGGGTCCAGTGGGGCTGATGCAGAACATGCTGCTTGTCCCTAGGAATGCCCTGTCCCAAGCTGCTGCCATCACCGCCGTGAAGTGGAGCCAGCAGAGCCACCTCGGTGGGAAGCTCGCCCACCTGAGAGCTGCCTGCTCGTGTTTCCCTGCAAGCCCAGAAGCCAAACTGCTTCTGCACAAAGCTCCCCTGTTCCCCGTTAGCTAATGAGCAAAAATACAGCCCGATAACCCTCAGCCTACGCAACCCTGCAGAGGAGAAAGAGACCAAGATCAGACAAGGAAGGTGCAGGTGGACCACAGCGGCACAGCTAGTGGGACAGGCAGTCTCCATCACCCCAGTCCTACCTGGAGGAGAAAGTCAAAGAGGGCCAGACGACTCCACTCGCCATGTGGGATGCTGGAGCAGGGACCATCCCCAGCTGCCAGTGTCGATCTGTGGGGACGCAGCATCTCCTGGTACTGCAGCCACCTCAGGGCGCAGGAGTTCTGGTCATTGTTGGCATCCTCCAGGTGCCGGACGTCAGGTGCCCACCAGATGATGGGTCGCAGGGAGCCGTCAGTGTAGCTGTAGGGCAGGAGGTGGCTGGTGAAGCGCCGGGCCACGGCGGGCAGGCTGCGGTTCAGTCCCAGGACCCTGTCCAGGTGGAAGGCCAGCACCTCGTAGAGGTCCCCAGGGCGCTTGATGAGCCCACAGCGTCCATCCCGGCAGTCCTCCTCCGGGCTGGTTGGTGAGGTGTCCCCCTCAACATTCCCCACGGCCCGCAGCTCCACTCGCAGAACTTGTCCATGGCCTGGGACGCGGGTTTTGGAGACCACCTGCCCGTTGGCCAGCAGCCGCATCTTCTGGAGGTCATCACTGGAGAACCATGGGGGAGCCTCCCCAGCCACCCCTCGTCGTTGCCTCCTTCCCCGGCTGGGCTGCTGGTCCTGCTGCAGGTGTGCAGGGAGTGCGGGTGACCTTCTGCTGTGGGCTCGTCCTCCAGAGAGGGGACTGGCCACCTCCACCCAGGGGCCTGGTGGGGGTGATGCTGGCAGCAGGCGGGGGGACCGGTCTGGTGATGGGGGCAGGCAGGCTATGGCCAGCAGGGTCAGGGTCAGCAGCACCCCAAGGGCCATCGGGGCAGGAGGCTTCATCCCCGTCCTTCGCCATGGTCGCTGGGCCTGTGGGGAAAGAAAGGGAGAGCATTACCAGGGGTCCCCATGGGGTGCTATGGCTGGGGATCCCCCACACCTGTGTGTCCCCTGCCCCACGCAGAGCTCTCCATAAGCTTAAAGGTGTTTGTTTTGGAGGAGCACCCCCACATCTGCTTGTGTGATCTCTGGGAAAGGTATTCCCCAAGTGCCTGCTGCCTCCATGGCGCTGTAGCAGGAGAGGTATGGCTGGTGGCACGATTTGTGCCAGAAATTAGCCACAGTCCCTTCAGAAGCCAGCCAGAGCAATGGCTGACCCACCACTGATGTGGCCATGTCTGCAGCACCGAGGTACAGAATCACCTCACAGAAGATGAATTCTTCATGCTCAAATATTTTGATTTAAAGACCCAGGAAACAAATAAAGAATAAAAAAATAAACCAAAGCAGAGCAAATTCCTGGATGGAGGCAAATGCTTTCCAGGTCCTAAGAGGTTTTTATCTTCAGACCTTACTCTGGACATTCTCAGCAGCTCCTACCCAGGTTGCACACCCAGCCTGTAGCCCAGATCTCCATGCCTTTGTTCGGAGGACATCCCAATGTGTGCTGAGACCCAGCTTCTGGAGCTCTGCCCACCTCTGCGCCTGGCAACAGCAAGGCACCTCCAAGTGCCCGTCGGGGGCTGTGGCAGCCTGTGTTTAAAAAGGAAGCAAACTGCAGTATCTGAAACCTAAAATATTCTCATTCCCAGCACTAAGGAACTGCTTTTAGACGGGTACTACCAAGTTTTCATGTCTGTATCTTTAAACACACAGCTTCCCCCCCTGCCTCCTTTAGTCATACTTTCTACTCTGAAGGGACTTATAAAAATTATATAGGCTGGAAAGGCAATTATGAGCAAATACTGTGCAAGCCTCCCCGTATTGCCAAGCCAACATATCTCCGCTTTGGCCTCAAGCAATCCCACACGCACGGCGCTGGCTCTGCCCTGAGCTCAGCACCTTCCCTGTCAGGGTGAGGTGTGAGGAGGTGAAGAGCAGCACCAGGAGGTCCTCCCATCCCCATCCCCATCCCCATCCCCATCCCCATCCCCATCCCCATCCCCATCCCCATCCCCATCCCCATCCCCATCCCCATCCCCATCCCCATCCCCATCCCCATCCCCATCCCCATCCCCATCCCCATCCCCATCCCCATCCCCATCCCCATCCCCATCCCCATCCCCATCCCCATCCCCATCCCCATCCCCATCCCCATCCCCATCCCCATCCCCATCCCCGGGCCACACTGCCCCCATGCCACGTTCACCCGGGATCGGGTGGTCTAACATGCTTCCAGGGGCTGGAGAGGCAAAAGGCACCTCGGTGCCGCTTCTCCGCTTCACAACAGGCATTTCCAAGTGGCTCGAGCCCATGCTGGAAGTCAAGGCAACATTCGAGTGGATACAGGGGTTTTTTTTGCAATTATTTGTTTTGGAAGCACCAGTATATCCGTGGCAGACACAGCGGGACAATATATTGCCAAGGAAGGGATAAGAGACTGTTTATAAGAGGAAAAGCTTGGGGGAAAAAAAAAAAAAGAGCTAAAAAGCCAGAGGGGAGGGGGAGCGGTGAGAGCCAGCAGCCAGAATGACTTCCAGAAGGCAGTTGGGCAAGCAGAAACATTTCCAGCCACGGGGCTTTTAGGACCTCAGGCTCCTGCCGGCTGCAGGGACCCACCACCAGCCAGGATTCCTGCCCCAGGAGCTGCCCCAGGAGACCCCAGCGTGTGAGCCCCTTCACAAGCTCGATCCAGCACTGTCCTAAAACCCACCAGGCTTCGTGCCCTCACCACGGGCACTCTCCCAAAGACACTGCATCAACCGAGGCAGATGAGAAGAGCTGCAAAGCCACCAACTCGCTGGCAGCAGCCGTGGGGGCTTCCCTTCGAGCTCCCCCTCTCAAGGACTGAGCAGCCTTAATGCAACTCTGTAAGAGGTAGCTGTGGTGCATTTGGAGTGATTCAGCTTTACAGCTCTCATTTAATTTCTTGTCTCCTAGAAATACAATGTAGTGCAGCAAAATATGTCTGCTGGGCCAAATTCTTTGCTCACACATGGCTTACACTGGCCTCTGTGGGAGCCAGGACTGTCTGGTGTGGGGCTTTGGGACCTGCCAGAGCACCCCTCGTTTTAGCTCTTCCTTAAAGCCCCAGAGCAAAAAGGAGATAGTTCAGGGTGAGACTGGTCAGAGAGTGATGTCCTCTCCTAACTTACTGGTGGGGTTATTCAAGGCTTGGTACCAACTGTCCCAGGCACCACTCTACACGGCTACATCATTTCCTTAGGCACCTTTCAGGCTGGAGATGAGCTTGAATACCCCTGAGCAGCCCTGGAGGGGCAGCAGGACTTCTGGCAACTGGCTGGTTATGGTGCCTCCCCAGTTCTCTGCCACTTGGATGTGGCAATGACTTGCTGCAGTCCCACAGCCAACACCAGCTAACACAGGTGGCACCCGAGCTCAGCGACCCAAAGCCTCCATGCCCTGGGTTTCAAGCAAGTCCTGAAAAGTGCAGACACACGCTTATTCCCAAGCACCCTCAACCCAGGTCTGGCACGCTGAGCAACAGTTTAGGGGAGGTGCAAAGTCTAAATCATAGTTTAACCATAGTCAAATTAATGCTGTGGCACAAAAAAGCCAGACCCCAATACCCTGATATCCATCCTCCTTTCAAGTCATCACCGTAAGCGTGTCGCAGTATGCCCCTCCAACCTCCAGTACACTGAATGAAGTGCAGTGACATCTATGGAGTTAACCCTGATGGACAGGATTAATTATAAATCTTTGTACTCCCATCTGCATCCAGCTGAGTTCCCTTCCCAATCCATGTTTTCCTGGGCAACTTTTCCCAGCACCTCCTCTATCCCACCCCTCTCTGGAGAGACACAGCCCACCCCACTCTCACCAAACTCCCCTGTAACCCCCTCCTGCACAGTGGATTTGCAGGGTGACTGTTTTTTCTTATTACCCTGATAATAACTCTTTGGCTGCTTACACCAAACCTGGGTGTGCAACAAGCCTGGCTGCCAAAAAATCCAAATATCCTGGTGGGGTGCATGCAGGAGCCATTTGGAGAATCTTGGATATACATCAGGAAAAATCCTTTTTAATCCACAGCTGGAGAGCAGTGGATGCCAAACGGATGGCAATGATTGCTGGTTTTTAATGTCAAGTCAGTTTACAGACCAGGCGGTTAAAGCATCGTTACTGTCCAAACCCACTTTGTCTTCTCTGTCAGCGAGCTTGGGTTTGGGCTCTTTCTTTCCCACCCCAAGCTTGAAATCCTGCTCTCTAAATCTGGGCGAGGGCCACCACAGGCTCCCTTCCCCAGCCCCGTTCAGGGTTTCCCTGCCACATCAACAATAAAAAGAAAAAAAAAAAAAAAGCAAGTACAGTGCAAGTGTTATTTCTGGCAGTCTGTATTGCAAATTTAATAATAACATTGCAGAAATAATACTGTATTTACAAGCCCAGGATAAATACTTTTCCAAAGAGGCTTTCTCTGAGCCCATGCTGTAAAAAAACATTGCAGTTTAAGCTATGGCTTTGATTCAGCCTGAAATGCAAACTCTGCTTTGCCAGTCTGACATAGCGACAGCACAGCACATCTCCTCCAGAAATTAGGTCCATATCCCAGGGGGCAAGCTACAGGCAAAACCCATAAAAAGGCTTAAAAGAGGTACTGCTTGTTCCAGGATGCCAATAAGTAAAAAATATATATCCTCACTCATCTGAGAGAAACACAGCACGACCCAGGCTCCCAAAGGCACGGTGGAGAGCCGGTGTAGCCTGGGCACTCAGGGATAAAACTTTCTAAGCGTGCTTGGGAGGGTTTTATCCTTGACATTATATTCCCGGGACGCTTGAACCTTGGCAGAATTTGAAGCAGAGAAGCCTGTTTTCAATTTCTTTTCAAAGTGCATCAAATTGGCTTTGTCGAGCTTCAAAGAAAAGAAAAACAAACCCCAAACTTCATTATTTAAGAATGTTAAGAAACAGCCCTAAAACTAGAAAGACACCATGGAAATATGTGGCTTTTAAAAGTGGGTTTCGTCCCTGTTTTCCTCTGGCACCTAAAAGAGTGCTCCTGCCCCTGTGCTGCCGTGGCCGGACCCCTCCAGCAGCAAATCCTACCATCCCAAAGAGGTGTCCAAGAGACCCAGGATGGCTCAGCTGTGGCTATGCCCCTCTTGGCCACCCACCCGCCCCAGGCTCCCAAGATTAGAGGAATTTGTCACAAGCCACCAGCGAGCAGGTTAAAAGCAGGTATGTGTGCTTATCTGGAGGTACACCATGCATTTTGTAGGGGGGGGGATGTAACACACAGAGCTGTACTCACCCTCCCAGCACTCTGCTCGCTGCCCGCCCGATGAACCACAAAACTGCCTGGGCAGCAGGAGAAGCAACCCACCATGACCAGTTTTAACAAAGACTGCTTGAAAAGCAACTGGGAAACATCCCCCTGGCTGCCCACTGCCTCTGGGAACATCTCCAGAGCCTTGTGCCCAACACGTGGCTCTCGAGACAGCTCCCAGTGTGTCGGGGAGAGCGGCTGAGAGCAGGTACATCAACCAGACCCAAGAGGGGAACAGCCCATTTTGACAAAAAACAAGAGTTTTTTGGCTTGTAAGGGGATGGCACATGGGTGAAGCTCACTGCTGTGACCCATAGCCGCGCTGAGGACACAGAAGGAGACCAAACCCCTCCATCCCTGGAGTGATTCTGGGCAAGCCCGAGCAGAAGGAAATCCTTGGCAGCACCCGCCACCCATCATTCAAGTGCTTAAGTGCCTCCCTATATCATCCCGCTCGGAGAAGATAGATGGCTTGCAGAGTGGGAATTTACTAAAGACAGCTATTAAATTATGACCACCAGCCTGGAAGGCAGCTCCAGCTCAGAGCAGGGTGCTGAGCTCACCCTGCACTGACAGCCCCAAGGGGGACCCGCTATGGTCCCCCCACATATGTGTCCCACCACCACCCACCCACACC